ACATGTGTGTTGTATTAGTTGAGATAATGTCATGAAGACATATCAGACGCTTGACTTCGAAAAAAGCGCCGAATATATATACCTTATAGATGTATGGAGAAACCTCATTGCAAGCAACGAAAAAGACTAAGTACAGGCAAACGGAAGAGAAAAGATCGTCTAAACTACTAGAAAAAAAACATGATAACGAATGCATGGCCATAGATTGCGAAAAACAGACGGTATCCGTAATGCATAACCATGCCATATGATGGTGCTGTGATATGGGCAACACCAGAGCAACCGAGAGGACTCTTGTGGTCCAATCAACAATAATAAATCCTATAACTATACCTTAAGCGAAGTTCAAAACGTATATATACGTGTCCCGTAACGAAAGGGTTAAACAATTCATCATCATTAATATGCCACAAATAATGGAGTGCTCAGCTGATATCTTGGCTGTTAACTTCAAAAGAATATTTAGTCTGCCATAAAACATAATGTAGAAAAAAAATCATCAAAAATATTGGTGAACTCTAATTTCTTTTAGCGAAAAATATTGATTCGTATCATAAATGATTCTGCAATGTTCAAGAGAAATAGATGTTTGTTTTCGTTTTCTTGTCAAAGTGAACGAATGGATTGTAAAATTATGATACTTTATAGTACTGTTCATAGGCTATCGATAATAATATAAAAAGATTCAAATAGAACATGTACATAAGATAATATTTGTAGAAAAACATATGCAAGTTATTTTTTGCAAATACCCATTTATTGCATGGAGAATATTTCTGGATCGCTGTTTATAATGAACCTTCTATGAGATACTGTCATTATGTTTATTTTTGAGCTGATTTGTCTTTCAATTGGTAGATTAATATTGATTAATTTCTAATTCGTGAATTAAATCTGACTGAACTTCTCGATGAGTTATATTCCTTAACTCAGCATTACCTATTACAGAGATGATACGACCATGATCAATATCAATAATCCTTCATATGGACTAAGAAATGCTGATTCGCTATGTTATTAGCAATGTACAAAATCGTTCATTATAAAAATAAATAAAGATTTCAAGAAGGAAACAGAATTTCTTTAATTTTTTTTTTGAGTCACTAGTTATTAAAAAATTGAAAATATAGCTTTGTATTTAATGAAATACATTGAAATAATGTAATTTGCTGAGTTGGTGATGATATCATCGGCGAAGATTTTTCGACTCGAATGAAAAGTATCAATGCATTGATTTTCTTTTAGATATCCATGATTATTTAATAGAAAAAGAAAAAAAAATCATAATAGGTCATAGTTATATTGTTATAAGACAGAATAAAGCAAAATAAGAAATTTCTTTGTCCAATATATTTATTCATTTTTATTTCGTGTGTTTTTCTCAACACTATAATAAATATTGCATTTATGTATGACACAGCTTTTATGAGTATTGATGTCATGAATAAAATGAATCTAATCTTGTCGATGTGAGACATTATATTTTAGACAATGTTGTTTTTCTCTCACTCCAATGAGCTATTTACATAATTTATTTGTTTTCTATTTGAAGGATTTTTTTTGCTAAACTTAATCAAAAATATGTATTGAAGTAAAACCTTTTCATTTCATCTTTCTGTCAATGTTCAAATTGGTCGAAATATGATTCTTTGTTTAGGATGTAACTTATTCAACTGCTATTATAGAAATCATAATCAACAGATTTTCTCATTTCATCGTTATTTCAAGCAAAATTAGATGATTTATCAAATAGATTGCTATCAAATCAAGATGCACAACATTCCATAGTATTATAACAACATATCCTGTTGATTGTATTCGTTGTTGAAATATATTTACCCATGGAAAATCATTTTTAAAAAAACCTAAGAAGCTTTTCGAAAAAAATTCTAATGCCGACATATTTAGTAACTTGTTAATATCTCCTGATTCAATTTATTTTCGTTAATAAGAATGCTAATTCAAATATAAAGTTGTTAGCACAAAAACAAATCTCTTCTCTGTTCTTATATAAGTGACGATCTATTATCATTTGAATTATGAATCATTGATGAAGTCAATCCTTTTATTTCCATCTGATAAAAATGTTAGCTTTTGATTAACATACAGAATATATTCATAAAAATTCTAATTTCCATGTTCATTCATTTGTAATCGATGCTTGAGAGGTTTCTTTATTCGAGTTCATTGATAATATGCAGCTCATAAATAATGGAACAGTTTGATTTCCTGTTTCTGACGAGCGGAAATGCTATTCAACGACACCATTCTTAACTCATTCATTAAAAAACTTTTCACTCTATAAAAATGTGGACTTCCTTTTTTTTTAAATAAGTTTTTCTTGTCGACGAAAAATTGGAAAGATTAACGGTAATTTCACTGTCCAACTGCGATCTCCTGTTGTTTTCTGCAGCCATCTAACGATGTGTGCAAGCTTGTATTCATTAAGTTCGATGCTAAGTGTAAAGTATTTAACATCAACAGATAGTGAATTTTGTGCTCTATACTCTAAAGATCTTCTCAAGGCTTCTAATGATGTCGTTCCAATACAAAAGGTTTGGAATTAACACTAGATGATTTTTTATTTCGAATACACTTTTCAAAACTCGTACTTTCAAAAGTTAGCATGCTCTATGAACAGTTTATCATTATATCATCTGATGGAGAATTTTATTCTGAACAAAATGATATAACATTTAAACCGAGTAACGAAAGTCTTTATATTGTTCCGAATTGGAAACAAACAATGGCATTGAACTGTCAAAAAGAATCTCTTACTCGAAAACTTGTTTTTCCAATTGTTTTTTTCTAGAATTGTGAAATATTGCGAGATGCAGTATTTGACGACATATCATATAATATATTTCGAATTTCCGTGGAACTATCATTTAAATATATTCTTAATAATGATTTTATTTTCGGACAGTCTCCATTCAATGGGTGAATGATTTTTCAATCTTTTCGATTTCTCTGCGACAGGAGAAACTTATTTGAAGAGCAAATTGTACAGTTTTGTAGAGCGAAAAATTTGCAATTGAATGAGCTTAGAATGACGTCTTTAAACTGTGTTGTTGTCTTCAAAAAAAAGAAAAAGAAAATCAAAGTGTTTCATTCTTTATGAGCCACCGTTTACAATATTTTTTAATTAAAATCATGAAATAAATCTAATCTTTCTGAATGATTTTAACACTTTCGAATGTTTTCAATAAACATTTTATTCAATTCAAATAAAGCAAAACATTATATGAAAATTAATAGTACTAATCGTCTAACTATCATATTGATTAAAATCGACGAATTACATAGAATATACCTCTTGATAACTAAGATACAAAAGAAAAAGAAAATAAAATCATGTATGCAGCTCGTTCTTTTTTCTTTATTGGTAAAGAAGAAAAACAAGATTATTCAAACAAAAGGTGACTCACTAGAAGATTAATTTAGATAAGATGATATAAAAGACAAAAAAAAATAGCAAATTTTATCTTTACAACAAAGATATTTTCTTTTTTCTAGAGTATCTGATTTATATTTGATCTATGATTTCATTATAAATATAAATAATCCTGAAGTTATAATCAATTATAAATATGGCTATACATAAATACAAATAAACACACACATACGCAATGCATTAGACAAATAAACAATTTATGTCAACAAAATGTCTCTTATAAAATTTTTTTATGAAAACATTGATCATGATCATAATGCATAAATATTCAAATAAGTTCATTATACATTCCTTGAGCTTTGACTATTAATGACAATTTTACTATATAATCATTTTCTATTGTCAAAACATATTACTAGTTATTTTTTTAATGGAATATTTCCTAGATGACCTTGAAAAAAAAAATCTTCGATATCAAATTATGTAATTTGATATGTCGAAGAGCAATTAAAACATATGAAAAAATATTTAAGATATTCAATATTTTTAGACTAAAAAAAATAATGATTTTCTTAGATTTACTAAGTCTTTCAGTGAATATTTTATGCCTTATACAAAAATTACCACAAATAATTCGTATTTATAAAACAAAAAATGTTGCTAGTATTTCAATATCATCTGTATTACTTGAAGAAACAGCGTAAAAAAATAAACATAATGAAATATTTTTTTTTTCTAAATTTCATTTACTTTAGTTATACATTAGTTTTAACTTACAATCTTTGGAGAAATTATCCATTATCAGCATTTTTTGAATATATATTTCTTTTTATACAAGGTAAGAAATTTCTTTTGTTAAACAGTTGTGATGTAAAATAATTAGTTTAGATATACTTCTCCTATGGGCATTGGCAAAATATTCAACAAAAGATAAAGATAAACAAACTGACGAATCAAAGCCTTTATATGGAATATTAATGTGAATACAAAAATAATTATTTATAATCAAATATAATTATATATTATTTATTTTTTAATAGTTTTTGTCTTTATCTAGTAGCGAGTTTGTTGAATCTTCTACCAAACAAATGGATGAGTATATGTACTGTAAGAAATTCTATTTTGATTTGGAAATAAATTTTAGTTTTTTCTCTTTAAATATTTTTTACTACAGATGTTTGTTATTCCTATTGGTGCATCATCAAAAATAATTCAATTGCGAACAATTCTTTCAAATAAAAGTGCTGGACAAGTTAGTCGAATTGGTTGGGTAATCGCATCGTATAGTAATTTTGGTATGATATATTAATCTTTATTTATCTATTTGTTTTTATTTTTATTTTCTAAATTTAATTTAATTTAGCTCGAATAATTACAAATCTTATTCAAACAAAAGATATGAATATGGTGATAAATTTATCAATTAGTTTCATTCTTAATACTTCAATTGTAATTGCTTGTACGATTTATTCCAATGATTCTGTATCAAAACTGACAGATAAAAGAAAGACAAAAACAACATAAATACAATACATATGAAGACGAAAACAACATATATAATGCTTAATTTTAATGAATGATACCATATAATAAATGATAAAACCTATCAAAGAAAACATAAACAACAATTTGATACATGATTTGGGTCATCCGTTTTCAAATATTCAAAAAATAATTGTTTAGCTACATCTTCTTCAAGTTTATCTTGCTTAGTTATTTGATGAAAAGATTTTTCTGCTGCTTTTTCATCAACACCGAAAAATTGACAAGTTTTAAGCCATTCATCAATTGCTATATAACCATCATGATTAAGATCAAGCATATTAAATGTTGTATTTATACGTTGAGATATATGTTCTAATACTTCCGGATCTGTATCAGTTTTACGTAATTCATTAGCAAGATTTTCATGAAAATTAAGCCATTCTTCTGAAAAAAAAAATATATTTTTTGTTTTTTAAACAAAAAAAAAATAAGTTATTGAAAAATTTCACCTAATGTTACTTTTCCATCTTGATTAGCATCAGCTTTCATGATTTCTTGACAAAGAGTCTTTCTTGCATTTGCATATTCTTCACGTCGTTTTATGTCATCTTGTCCAACAAGTGCTGAAAGTTTATCAGCAAGAATTTCAAAATCAATTGGAGTTATAAAACCATCTCTATCAGCATCTAGAAAACAACAAAAAAAATAAGAATACTTAACACATAATTAATATAGATATTATTTATTGGAACATATCTACCATAGAGATGGAATAAATGTTTCATTTTCTCATGCCAAAATTTTTTTGTTTCATCTGTCTAAATTAAATTAAGAGAGAAGAATGTTTGGAAAACATGACTTCAGTCATCAAGATCTATTATTTACCATTGTGTCGTTGTTAAAGTACAGAACGCGCGCTGAAATACTCGATGTGGTTTAACGTTGATGCAGTTCTATAGTCTAATGTTTAGAGATGGAGACGTTTTTTTCTCCCTCGAGAATCTTCGCTCTATCTCTCAGAATAAATTATCTACTCGACGTGCGGAAATGGCGGTGATGTTGTTGTTATTTCATTCTGTCCTAGTTTTGAGTCGTTTCCACTTCGCACATAAACAATATAGCGTACGATCGAAGAAATGCTCGAGAATGTCTAGAACTGAGAAATAATTCATAGAATGTACACAAATCTTTATCGTTTCTTTTTACACGATAAACGTGAATTAAATAGAAAAAGAATAAGCAATCTATGACGCACTTCATTGAAGAACAAATCATTTACATGACAACAACGTTCTGATTGTTTCAATGACACTAACAATAATAATGATAAAAATGGATATTCCAAAATTGGTAACAACAAAGCTATCTAAGAACGAGACAAAAAAAGGCCATATGTATCCATATCTTCGAGTAATGTAATGCGTCCTCAATGTGCGCATACAGATATATATATATATATATATATAACAGTAGTAGATACAACGACTGAAAGTCTGACAAAAATTAAACAAATCTACATAATTTCTTTACTATTATTATATATTATTGATTGACATTGTCGTAGATGCCATAAAATGTTTTGTGTAAGTGATAATCAAATCGGTAAGAGTGAATCAAAGAAATTCAAATTAGAGATTTTCTTTTTGTTTCATTGGAAACAAAAACAACAAAAATTTATTCTTTTTGATAAATAATACTATAAAAAAAACTTCAAAGAAATTCGATAAATAATCCATATGATAATAATAAGAAATATAAAAAGACTGAGTGCAACACGTCTATAAATAATTCTATATTCTATTAATTGTTCATTCATATGAAAATTGTTTTCTAATGAATTGTTAAAAACGATATTATCATATTGAATACCTTTTTTTTCTAATATTCTTGTACATAATAGAAGTTCATCAAAATTAAGCAATGTCAATGCACATAATGTTTGAGCTATTCGATGTTTTGTTAATATTATTTTTTCTGTATAATGTTTTGCTAATATAAAACGTTTAAAATAAAAAGAATTTGTTCGTATTAAATAAATCAGTTGAAATAAATTTTCTGATGTAAGTTCTTTCGATTGATGATACCATGATGAAAATCGATAAGCAAGTGTCCATTGATCTTTTTGTGTACGTTCCGCTTCAATTACATTTAACGAATATTGTTCATAATCAGTTAATATAAGTGATTTTCTATCATATGAATATTTTCGAATTGATGGTTGACTTAAATAACCAATAGGACTAATAGGTGGATGTCCAATAACACCCATTGTTGTATTTAATGATGTATAAACACGAAATACATCTTGATGACGGTGACCACTTAAACACATTATTATATTTGATGAATATTTATTAATTATAGATAAAAGTTTTTGTTCGTATTTTATATCGTAAAATTTATATAATAAATTTTCATTTATACCAAATGGTACATGAGCTAAAAGTAATATACGATCATTGAGATTCTGTGCATCAAACATTGTTTTATTAAACCACCTGAAAATTAAATATATTCATTCGATAAAACATAAAATACAATAGTAAATTCTTTGAAAAAAAAATATTGTAAGTTGTTTTCAACACAAAAAAAACAAGGACCAGCAGATTTTAGCAATTTACAACACTTCGGGCAATGCATTAGATTCGCTCAATATTATAAAAATAAATTAGTTCTAATTTAGAACGGCTATTTTCCTTAATAGAGTCGTTGTACTTCTGATAAGAGTTTCTTTTTTTGTAACAATTCTTTATTAATATAGATATCAAATGAATCGACTGATAATAACACAAGTTCTTTTGATAATATTGTTGTTTCTTTTACTTCTATTCTAATAAATCTCGAATTCGGATGCCTTGTTGACATTTTCCGTTGTCTTGTAATTATCATGAGATACTATTATTAGCTTTTATTTTATTAGAATAAAGGCAAATACAATAGTAGAAAGATATAATTTAAAGAAATAATCAATTTTTATTGTGCGAAAAATAGCAAATCTCCAGGGTTTATGAATCTTCAAAAGTAAATCATACGATGATTTTCTCGTTGATTACTTCTTAACAACACACTAATGTCATATACTTAGGAAATAAAGAATGCAGAAAATACATCCGACCTTTTTAGATATCACACGATTTTTCATTTGCTAGGCTTTGTTATTTTAAGCAAACAAAAAAAAACCAATCAAGCTGAATAAAAGCGTTTTGAATTTCATTTTAGTGAATTAATTCATTTACATACTCAATTTGTTCATTAGCTTCATTTAAATCAAAATAATCTGTATATTGTGGTAGAAACATTGCTGTATTAAGCGCAATAAAACGTAGCATTGTTTGTTGTTTAGTTTTTAATGCTTGAAAACGTATTGAATAATAACCACCTAAAATGAATCTATATAGCAACAATATCGGTTCTGATTAATTTCAATCAGTTTGTTTTTTTTCTCTTTATACAATTACCTTTTAAAAATGTTTGAAGTGCATTATCATCCTTTAATAATAAATTATATTTTGTTTGATTATAAAATTCTATAAAACGTGTTGATCGATTTGTCTTTAAGACAACATCATGGTTTCCTAAATATATATATCTATATATTTCTATTAATTACTTTAAAGAGATTAAAAATTTTACCTAAAACAGGAATAACAAGGGTTTTTGGAAAATACTTTCTTAATTCTTGAGAAAAATTTAAATAAATAGATATGACCGTATCACCATCAGGAGAGTAATGACTTGCTGCATCACTAAAAAATTAAACTTAAATAATTTTGAGAAAATAAATAAATTTTTACCCGAGCCATATAATAAAATCAATATTTGAATCAATTTTTTTCGCAGCAGATAATGCTGATATTACTAATTCATTTGGTGTATCACAATTAAAATGACCAAATTTTCGAATTATTTTTGTCATATTATTTAATGGTACGTTATGACAACCAGTAGATGGGTCACCATCCTGTCGATAATGAACATCAACATGTGAATCAGTAAATATCCAAAAATGGCCTAAACAAAAAAAATTGCAAATTAAATTACTATTTTAAAATTACAAATACCTTCGATTAATTTCTCTTCATTTCTTTTTGATTCAAATTTTATATAAAAAGTAATACAACAGACAAACAATAACCATATTAATAATGAATATCTTTTTAACCGTATATTGATGTTCATTATAATTTCATCACGGTTCCAATAATCTACCTTGAGCATTTATGTCTTTCTCTATACCAACAATCACTCTGGCACGAATAATAGGTTATCATCGTGTGTATTTATATTGATCAAGTTGACTGCATCTCCAAACGTTGACAACGTGACAGACATATATAGGTTGTTATTCACATATTTCTTTTCTTTTTAATATAAAAAGCATTGAATGTCATAGAAGAAAAAAAAAGTCACCTATGCACCTTTCATACAATTTTGCTATAGAACATGGTAAACACTCTGTACATAAAGCAGAACAGAGGACAGTACGTGCGATTCGTTTTTTTTTAATAAAAAAAAATTCTTAAACAAAAATTTCTTTTCTTCTTTCAATTCAAAGAACAACGAATCAAATAAAATTTTATACAAAAATTTGATAATTTGTTTCCATTCGTTGAGAAATACAATTATTATAACGATTATTATCACAAATATTGATTTCGACATTTATGCATGTGATTGAGCTAATAGAAAACATCTTTCGACATTTTTTTTCTTTAATTCAATCGAGCATGAAATTAATTGGAGCAGACAATAAAAAGAATTCTGTTATTATGATGATATTGTTTTAAGAACTATAAATAACCAATAGGAAAACTATTTTGGATTTGCACTATAATCTATAGTTGTAACAAACTATCGTCAATCCTTCGTTTGATGCAATTAAATTAAAAATATTTTGAGTATAATTAAAAGAAATAAAATAATAATGTTATTCCAAATTAAAACTAGTAATTCTTGATGACGTCAATGAATCTTTTTTTGTTTATAATACTTCTCAGTAGATATTCTGAGATATGCAAAAAGTCCATTAACAAATCGACCCTTTATTAATCATAATCAATGTCATTTTAATAAGCTTTCGAAATCTTTTTTCTAATAAACTAATATTGTTGTATTTAAAAAACAGTAACCAACAACTTACACACATCATTGAATTTAACTTTATTATTTACTAGATTGTTGCTTAAAGCTAAACCAACTTTGGTGATCTTCAGAATAAATGAATTAGTTTCCTGATATCATATCAGTAATGAGGTTATAATGGATGGACTCCATATGATAAGATTATGAAGGAATAGAAGCTTTAATATACAGTCTAGATGCCACTCTTACATATACTAGAAAATAATTTTTTCTATGATAATCGATTACGTTTCAGTCTCAAAATTGTTTTATATAGACAAAAAAAGTACAATGTTTTCTTATTATTCATAAATATATGTAAATGATTGCACTCTATTTATTTCATTCTATTTGTGAAAACAATTATAAGATACTAAATTTAGTTCTTGAATATAAGGTAGAGTTAACACACACTGATAAGTTAACTAAATAATGATAATATATAACAGATAAGAAAAATACAAAACACGAACATGGTGTGTTTAACATTTTTTTTGTACATTTGCATTGATGGCCAACATTTATGTTTGTAGATGCGACCTTTGATAAACTAGAATGCCACTATGGTCCGTTATTTATTCTTGACTAAAAATCCATATTGATTTATAATCAGTAAATGTCAAGGTCAAGTAATGAACACAAATGTAAACATATTTTTTAGCCGAAAACAAAGCATTCAAATATATCAAAATATCTTAGAAAATATATGAAATAATCAAAATTAATAAAATAAAAAATATTTTCATCTCAATCATCACAATATCTGAGATATATTCGTATTATGATTAAATTCTGTATGATTGAAAGTGATTCTTTTATTTTTATAAATTATTGCAAAGATATGTTGTATTTTTTGTTAGTACCGTGTAATTATTGGAAGATTATCAAAAAGACTATGAAAAAAAGAAAAATAATTGTCATCATAATAATGAATGTTTTCATGTTTAACAATCTTCTCAATATTAAAGTAGATTTGCTTTCTTCATAGTGCATAAGCCTTTTTTTTGAGCTTCTTAATAAGTATATCCTGAAGCATCGACAAGATTTGTATCATAATAATAATAACATTTGAGAACTACCAAGTTATTCTTTTATATTCAAATGATAATCACAATCTTGACATTATAATTATTCATTAGAATAAAAAACAACAATACAAATAACTCATAGTAAATCTTCGAAAGAAAAATTACTCAATCATCATTTATCATTTACGATTGAGGAAAAATGACTTAATTGTCGACATCAAAGCTTATTTATATATTCATTACATTACTCATTTATAACAAGTTACTCGTCACGATTGAGACTCACATATAGGAGAGTTCTACTCAAATGAGATACGTGCATATATATATATATATATATATATGTCGTGCCGAAATTATTGTACATCAAAGAGCCCTGCAGCAAAATTGGAATCATTAGAGGAAATTTTTTCAGAGTTAATGTCAGAATTAATAAGTAAAACAGTCAAGCGTTTTTTGCACTTATACAGTAATAAGTTTATGCTTGATATGTTAAGTAGTAACAAAAATACACTATACTTGATAAAGTCGTAAAAAAAATTCAAAAGAAAGACAAAACGTCAGAGAAATATCATTTCGGGATCGTAGTCGAAAAAATTGACTCCGCAGGGTTTTACACATTGATTAAACAGGAAATCACGACCAATTGATTGATGATAATAGTACAAAGAAAAAAAATATATATATCTATATACTTATAGTTAATTTTTCATTTGAATCACGTTCATGCAATTTTATAATACTGAATAAATAATGTTGACATTACTGAGAATTAAGAGCTTCTCGACGTGCTTTTTTCAAGGTCTTATAGGATTTTATTATAAATTCTGACATTAGTTTGATCATGCAAGGCGAAAAATGAGAATAAGGGTTTAATTACAATGTATTGTATATTATCGAAAGATAAATTTCGACATTTGGAAAAAAAACACACATAAATTAATAAAAGAATAAGTTTCAAGAGCTTGTTGCTTTTTCAAATCATATCATATTGTCACTTTCTTATAATTATAATTTGATAAAGCTTCTTGTATAAACTTGAAACGTTCTTTTTTTAAATCAGCACAGTGATTTCCATTTATTCAGGATTCATGTACAACTAGTTCTAAAATACAATAAAAATGAATAAATTAAATCAATTCAAGCTTTTGTACGCATCGATATAAGATGTGATATCAAAGATAGTCAATCTTTTTCATATATAAACAATTTTCATGTCCTAATTGTCAATTTGAATGTTATTTCAAATTAGAATACTACACTTTAAGGATTGATTCCATCGACCGTAAAACTCAATGATCATTTGAAGTTAACGAAAAATATTTAAAATAATAATACAATGTAATTTTCAAGTTTTCTGCATAATTTCTATAGTACTTATTTATTCTTATAAAAATTAAATGTATATGGTATTGAAGTAAAAAATTAACTATAACTACATGCTTTGTTTATCGTATTATTATTCAATTGAATATCCAATAACTTCGATACGATATATTTATTAATAATATTTCAGATAGAATTATTATTAATTCATTTTCTTTTCTCATAACAAGAATAAATAATTATGATCATGTCAATTTTTGATAGAAATCATGATGATTATCTTAATTATTTTCAAATAACTAGTGTAAATACTGTTGTGAAAAATGATAATACTCTCAATTTCAAAGAGTTCAATTTTGTTGAAAGTAATTATTAACAACTAAATTCTATTTTCAGAAACTAGATAGCCAATGTATATTTCTTTTTTTTATTTTGACTAAATAGATTTAAATAAAATTTGTTATGTGTAATACAAATTATAATAGATTGGTTGACATTTTTTAATATTATAGATGGATTCTAAACATCATCAGTCATTCATTCAATATTTTTTACTAATGAATTGAAATTTTTCTTTGTATTATGATGTCGAAAGTGTTAAAAAATTTCTTCGTAATTAACTAAACTTAATCAAAAACATCTTTTTGTATTAGAGAAAAATTTTCAACTATGGCAAAATAACTCTAAACATAATAAGTTATGATGCTTCGAATTGTAATTATCAATATTACAGTCAATAAATATGAAAGATCGAAATAATACTAAAGACATATTAGTACATATTCTGATTTTGTCAATTATCTTTACGTAACCATATATACTTCAGATAAATTCAAAAATTCTGTAAATGAACATTTCATGATTATCACAAATAAAAATTGATTCGATGAGAAACTTTTATTTTCAAAATCTTTTTTCATTAATTCCATAATATTCTTAACCAAACATTGATAGAATTACAAACTTCATATAGCTTATATCCTAAAATAAAGACTATTCCAAATAATTAGATTGATCTTATAGGATAATGAGTGGTGTAACCAGCAAAGAGTTGTAGGGGAAGAAGGTCGCTCAGCCCTTGACCGTATCTGTAGAGAGGATGAAGACTCTCTAGTAGTGCTTCTAGAGAGAGAGTTCAAGTCCCTTTTGAGGAGAATTCAATGATTGGTGGCAGAGGAGTTCAAAACCTTCTATGGAGACTGAGCTCCGTCTGATTACGTCATTAACTATAATATTCATTGATGTTACATTCCTACATAACAAATATATTTGAAACGTCGTAAAAAAAAAAAAGATTTAATCAATTCTGTAATAATTTTTCGTACAAATTCCATGACTTTCAGTCGTTTATATTAACAACAGTGACTGATAGAAATCAATCAATTATATACATAAAAATTTCAAAAAACATGAAAAAACAATCTATTGACTAAATATAGGTTCTCAATCATTAAAAAATTAAATATAAACTAGTTTTTATTTTCAACTATCAATAAAATCTTTCATCTCTTTATATAAATACATTAAAAAATATTTTCATTTTATGTCTGTATACTATGAAATGTTGTTGTTAATTCTTTTAGTTAAATATTCTGTACAATAATAATTATAATTAATTATCAATGAAGAATATTCCATAAGAACTTGACGAATGTAGATTAACGATGTCTAAAATTCATTCAATAATAAATTTAAAAAAGAATTTCATTCAAGTAAAAATATACCTGAAATAAAATCTTGTTGTTCTCTTGTTCATATTCAAAAACTTGTTTTGGGATTAATTCACAACAATTTATCAGTTCATATGCCATCAATAAACAACCTATCGCCATTGATAAAACAGATAAATCCATACAACGAATATCTAAATATTATACAACATGTTAAACTATCAATCATATTAAAACTAATCTTACCAGTTAAACATAATACAATTAATTCATAAGTCAATGGTCGAAGACGATCTTTTATTGAATAATCCGACACATGTAATAGAATTGCTTCAACATAGTTGATTGGAGTTATTATATCAATATCCCAATCAAGTGTATTACATATCAAGTTTTCATTCGCCTAAATATTATTACAATGATAGTTACACAAAAAACTAAATAAAACAAGAAATCCTTACTATTAATGTATTACTATTGAAAAGTGTTATATTCGAATGAATAGAATGTTCATTTAGTTTTGTTGCCAAAGATAAACAAGCTATAAGTATTGATTCATCTATTTCATTTGTACAAATTGAATGAAGAAGTTTGTGAAGAATAGCATTAGCTCGAATGAAGATTTCATTAGATAAATGATTCTCTTGGACTAACTATTAATCAAAAATTATTTTAAAAAATATGAAAGAAAAGTATGGATTGATGTTTACCTTGAATAATCTTATTGATTGTTGAAACTTAATAGAAGAAGAAATATAAGATGGTGAATGATGATATTGAAGAAGTGTTTGAAGAATAATATTTGTTTCTTTTATTGAAGAAAGATGTTGTGGAGCAGCTTTGACTACATCATCATAATCATATTCAATATCACTACTTGAATAATAGTCAGATGTACAACAACTTGAAGTTGATATCATGTTCAATGATAACTGAACTATGTTCTCTCACTAGTTTATATATGATCATTCTCTTCTGTCTCTCTTTTTTTTCTGTCTGATAATGTGACAAAAGTGCGGTCATTTATTGATTTTATATTGTTGATCTTTATAGACGAAAATGAGGTGGTGATCTCCAATTCTTTGATGTTGAATCAAGTAGGACATGCTTTCAAGTCAACTGACGACTATCGCGATCAAGCGTAAAAGAAAAAAAATAGGAAAAGAACAGGCACTAATTTCATGTAATTATAGTCTTTTGACACGCATGCTTGTTTAATTCTGAAAAGAGAATGTATTCTAAACTTTTGACAACTATTTCTATTGAACTTTCAAGTGACATGATAAAGAAACATGATTAGAGAGAGAGAGAGAGAAAGAGAAAAAACAAACTCTTATATTTCGGTTAATGACAGCTGATGAACGTGATTTGTAACAAAAGGTAGAATAAAATATGTTTTTCTCCTCCTTGTTTTCTTCTTTCCTTATCATAGAGATATCCATTTGAACATAGTCTATGTTAATATCAAGGAAAAAAAAACAAGTGACAAGTGAACAATAAATGTATAAAAAGGTGATAACAACAATAGGATGAAATAGATGACAAGAAAAAGCGTACGTAAATCTATAAATTGACAATGAATGATAAAAGAAAAGTACTGTTAATATAGAAATAACTTTTTGTTTTTTTTATAGTGTTATAAACGGCAATTGATAGAAAGTGTTAAGTGTTTTTTTTTTCGTCTTTTCTCATAGCAAACATTGTCATAATAATAATCTTAAAACTTGTAATTTAGTGGAATTTATATGCACAAGATCTATTCGTTTTTAAATTAATAGTCTTTTGGTCTCAAATTCAGGTTGAAGAATAGTTTGTGTAATTACTTTTTCTGAAATGAATTTTTATTATTTTACTACCATACTTGGATGCTTGCTGGAGGATACTGTAGACTATATGATGGTATAATATTACTAACAGGTTATCGAATTGAATTTATACAAAAGTTGAAAGAAAATATGTGTGCAGAAAAAGTGTTGCATATGCTTTTCAAATTTATATATTTGACATAGATGACAATGGATAAGTAACATCTTTAATGTCTATCAAGCACTATAATGAGTAAGTCCAAAAGTACTGTTTTCAATATTTGTCTTTAAGCT